TGCCGTGGCATCACAGCTCACAGCAACCTCCAACTCCTAGGCTCAAGCGAGTCTCCTGCCTCAGCCTCCCAAGTAGCTGGGACCAGAGGCGCCCGCCACAACGCCCGGCTATTTTTTGGTTGCGACTGTCATTGTTGTTTGGCGGTCCGGGCTGGATTCGAACCCGCCACCTTAGGTGTATGTGGCTGGCGCCCTTAGCTGCCTGAGCTACAGGCACCGAGCCGTAAAAACAATTCTAAAAACAAAAGTCAAAACCTTTTTAGAGCAGTGTCAAATTAAGAATTTTTTTAATTTCTAAAATGAGTATTTTAAAGGCAGCTGCACTTGGTAAAGTTTTAATATATTGAATAAAAAATAAGACCTCATTACTCATTAAAGTATATGCGTGTATGAACTAAGAGCTTTGTATAGCCTTACATTTGTCTCTACTTTACTCACGTTTGGTAAATGTGTGGTTACTGTACATATATATGTCTAAAGGTCAGCCCTATCTAGGAGGAGTGACAGAGTGAATTCAAAACACTAAAATGGTAGCATATAATTAGGATATTGCATGTGTTGAGGGGTTTTTTTTTTTTTTTTGAGACAGAGTCTCACTTTGGTAGAGTGCTATGGCATCACAGCTCAAGGCAACTTCTAACTCTTGGTCTTAAGTGATTCTCTTGCCTCAGCCTCCCAAGTAGCTGGGACTACAGGTGCCCGCCACAATGCCCAGCTATTGTTTTGTTACATTTGTCATTGTTGTTTAGCAGGCCAGGGTCAGGTTTGAACCTGCCAGCCACAGTATATGTTGTCGGTGCCCTAACTGCTGAGCTCCAGGCACCAAGCCCATGTATTGAGTTTTAAGGAGATTTCAAAAGCCCTTCATGTAGTAAATATATGAGTTTAAAGCATTTCTGATTAAATATTTTCCTATTAAATTTGGAAAATGCACTTTTACCTGTCAAAAATGAAATTAAAAATTTCAATTCAAATGTCCAATAACACTGTATTTATCAAGAATAGTAAGTTGGGTGGCCCCTGTGGCCCACTGAGTAGGGCGCCAGCCCCATATACTGAGGGTGGTGGGTTCAAACTCAGCCCTGGCTAAAATGCAACAAAAATATAGCCGGGCATTGTAGCAGGCGCCTGTAGTCCCAGCTACTCGGGAGGCTGAGACAAGAGAATCGCCTAAGCCCAAGGAGTTGGAGGTTGCTGTGAGCTGTGACAGCACACCACTCTACCGAGGGTTAATAAGTGAGACTCTGTCTTAAAAAAAAAAAATAGTGAGTTGCTGCAGTAAAGAACACCATAATGCTATTAAAAATAACATTAGTTAGCATGTTTTTTGTTTTTTGGAGACAGTTTCACTTTGTTGCCTTTGGTAGAGTGCCATGGTGTTATAACTCACAGCAACCTCAAACTCTTGGGCTCAAGGGATTCTCTTGCCTTAGCCTCCCAAGTAACTGAGACTACAGGCACCAGCCACAACTCCTGACTATTTTTAGAGGTCTCACTCTGGCTCAGGCTTGATCTCAAACCTTTGAGCTCAGGCAAGGTGAGCTCACCCCCCTTGGCCTCCAGAGTGCTAGGATTACAGGTGTGAGCCTTGGCCCAGTTAGCATGTTAACATGTGTTGGATCTCACATGTTAGAAGGTAGACTGACTACTTTGCCTGTGTTGTATAACTTATTATCTCAAATGCCCTCTCTCTTATGACAATGTGATTTAACTTATTTCTCAAATCCCTGGACCAGATTGAAACATGACATGTTTATATGAAATAATGTTACATTTTCCAAGTCAGAAATATATGCTATATTTTCTCTCACAACACATACACACAGATGGCAATTTCATTAACAGAAGTCTAAAGAGATCTTGCAGAAATGTAAATAAGTGAATTAATATTCATTAGGTCCTTTTTCAATCTTTAAAATGACTTATCAGTTTTTTAATTTACAGTTCTGTAATCTTAAACTGGACTTCAGTTCTCACTTCTACAAATCCCCTTCAATCAGTTTATACATAAGCTAATTGGTACTTAGACATCTGCTTCCTATTCTGTGATTCTAAACCATACCAGCGATTACATTGACTCACAATCCCAAAATTGTAATTTCAATTAAATTACCAAGATAGATTTTCTCTCCTAATTTTTACATCATTTTCTGATTTTGTTAGTGACGTTATAGTCAGGCCTCTGTATCTGCAGATGCAGCATATTGGATTCAACCAACCAAAGATTAAAAATATTCAGAAATAATAATACTAAATAACAATATAGCCTGCAGTCCTATCTACTTGGGAAGCTGAGGCAGGAAGATTGCTTGAACCCAGGAGTTTGAGGCTAGGGTAAGCTGTGATCATGTCATTGCACCCAGCCTGCATGAAAGAGTCAGATGCTATCTCTAGCAAAAAAAAAAGTACAACAATAAAAAATAATACAATAGGGCGGCGCCTGTGGCTCAGTGAGTAGGGCCCCAGCCCCACATACCAAGGATGGTGGGTTCAAACTTGGCCCCAGTCAAACTGCAACAAAAAATAACCCAGCATTGTGGTAGGCGCCTGTAGTCCCAGCTACTCAGGAGGCTGAGGCAAGAGAATCACCTAAGCCCAGGAGTTGGAGGTTGCTGTGAGCTCAGGGCACTCTACTGAGGGTGACATAATGAGACTCTGTCTCAAAAAAAAAAAAAGTATCTCA